AGCAGGGAAGAGAATCATTTTCCTTCTACTGGCACAGCACAGTATTCATGTTGTAACTAAAAAAAAAAAAAAAAACCTATTAGAGAAAAAGGACATGTGTTCAGTCCAGAAAACTTGCTGATTTGCTTATATCTAACAAGTTGAACTTAAGCCTACGTGTATTTGTGCGACAACAATGCCTGTATCTTTAATTTTATTTATTTTTTTTTTAAATTTTAGATAATGTCATTATAGTCTACAAAAAATATGGAGTTCCCTTTCCAGAATGAGAGCCTTTACTAGTGAGCATAAGCGTAGACTCCAACTGGCAGATGAACACCCACAGTTCTAGTTTAGAATAGGTTACCCAGGCGTTCCTGTTTGAAAATGACAGTGTCTGGTGTAAATCAGTAACGTCTCCAGACTTACTGCCTTTAGAATTGGTGTTCGCTAAAGGGGGAGGGACGAGTTGAGATCTTGGCAACGGAAGGAATTTTTAACCTACCTCATCTTCCAGTCTTGTTTGTTATTCTGGCAGCATTTCCGAAGCTCAGTGACATCAGTAGGATCCATTCTGTTTACTTCAGTAGGCTATGAATTGCTCCTGGAACAAAAGATGTCAGGAAATAGTTCGGTTTGCCTCACAGCATGTGCAAATCCCTCATCATTCAGGTCTTACAAGCTTGGAGTCTTTGTTGGTTTTTAGACAGCTCCAGTGAATCCACTGAAAACAAAGTGGCTGTGTGGCTTTTTAAGTCTCAGCGGATGTTTATGAACTGCATGAGGACGCTTAAAAATCAAAACCTTTTATCACGTGCTTTCAATGCTAACAAAGTTTTTATTTTTTTTTTAAGAAGTGGTATAGAAATGATTGTGCAGGCAAGTGTTCAGCCAGTTTCTGCTTCCATTTAAAATATTTTAGCTTTTAAATACTATCAATGGGTTTCAGTAGATTTTCACTGGCATGTAATTGATGTGTTTTATTTTGTGTTGTATGAAAATTATTTCACATCCTGTATCAAGCATGATTATATTGAAATGAAGCAAAATTACAAAGGGAGAAAGAATGAAAGAAAAAAAGTACATCTTTCTAACTCCATGGTCTCATTTTCTGTCACTGTCAGGTTACTGGTTGTAAGAATTTTCACAGAGACTGCTTAAATTATTTTGCTTTTGCTTTAGTGTGATTTTCACTGCATTATACTGACTTTGGTTTTTCAAGAAATTCAGTAAAGCAGAATAGTATTAGCAGTCTGGACTCACATAATCTTACGCATTAAACGATTTGATTTAAAAACATATCTTTTTCTTTTGTAACCATCTTCCCTATTTGTTTTATTTCTCTCTCCCCTTCATTCTTTTTCATATGCTTTCATTAGCACCATGCCCAGGTAGGTATTACATAGCATGAAAACATGTTGTCTCTATATCCTTTTATGTCACCTGTCTCTGTTCATCCATTTTGGAGGCCTGCTGTATGCCGGAAAGTTGATTTGGAGAACCAAAATAACGAAGCTGCTGTTGAAGGTAGTTACAGTCTCAAATGAGTATGATACGTAGCGGTGAATACTGATCCAACAGTACTCTCTGCCTAGAAAGTCACAGTAGGACACAGCCACTGTCCCAGAGAAACTTCCCTGATTCCTGCGCTACAGATACCGTTAGCAAGGATCAGGGAAATTGCACTAGATCACAACAGCTGGTAGCCGTCCTTCTGTCATCATGCTTCTGGGAAGGTTAGCCATTTTCCTTCTCTATGTGGAGAAACAGTGGTAGAATAAAAATATAAAGAGAATGGACTACGCTAGCTGGATTCTCCCTTTGGATATTGAGAGCCAGAACAGATTTGGGCCGTATCAGATCACCAGTATTTGAAAAGACTCCGTCTCACTGTAAGTCCCTTCCACCTTTCTGGTCTATGACAGGTGTGAGGAAAGCTTTCAGTCTTTAAATAGAGAAACATTTTTTAAGGCTGATTTATACAGTTTTCAACGACACCAGGTTCTTTTCCCAGCTTCTGAAACAACGTATACTGCCCGTGACAACAGATACGCTCAACTGGACTAGAGACTGCTAGAGCGGTCTCTAGGCTGGCCAAGTGGATGTGCACTGCAACGTGGTCTCCCAGTCATCCAGATTAGAAACTTGGCTAGAGTATGCTGCTCTTATTTTCTGGATACCACCTGGGCTTTATTCAGGGCTTGGAAGAGGTGGATGAGACATGCCTGTGCGCTACCTAACACGGGCAAGACACGCTCTTATGTTCAGGAGCTTTGTAGCATTCCTGGGTTCCACAGTTCGGTTTCTGGGGCAGAGTAGAGTGCTGTTGACCCCACAACCCTCATGACTTCAGGTTTATTAACCAGATTTGGAAAGCATCTGTATTTAGACATGTCTCTGTGATTTAGGGGTTTTTTCTTTTACAGGATTCCTGAAGACTTATTGCGATAATAAACAATAAGTTCTGTTCAGTGCCACTGCGCTTCTGTAACTGGACTGTCGTTTCAGTCAGTACCTTTATTTCTAAGTCTCAGAAGCACAGACCTTAACTGCTGGTTTGCTCTTCATTTAGCTGGTAGAGCACGTAGAAGAGAGGCGGTGTCATCTGAACACTAGTTTTGAAATTAAGTGTAGTAGGAAATTTAAACTTCTGATTTACTGCAGACCTCAATCATGCTTGTGCATATCTTGCCTATAGATAGATAAATCCATACCCTCAAAGTATTGGATATTTGCAGGAGCTTACTTACACGTACTACATAGTGGATATGTACTGGGCTACTTGTAGCGGTGGTAGTAGCAGTGGCGGGTACTTGCAGGAGAATATGGACAAAATCACTGTACAGATAACCAGTCAAATCTCGTACATGCTTCCTTCCATTCGGTATCTATCCAGGACATGACATTAGCTGAATAGCAGAACCTACAACTTGGATGGCGAACCTCTTACAAGCATTGCATGGTGCAGCGAAGCAGCTCTGAAAGCGTCAAACGTTGAAATGAATAAAGGATAATGATGGCAAATGGGGTCTGCTACTGAGGCTTATTTTTTCAACCAAAGAACACATGTTCACTGAAGTACTCTTGGTATGAACAAGCAAGGTGTACTCTGCCTACCCAATTCACACTAAAATGTTTAACCAAAATACTCTTTGGTCAAGATTCCCTTTCGTAATTTTTTTCTCAAATGTTATATGCAGACAGTTAGAGTGAACTTCTGTCCCTACTGAAATTTTGTTGGTTGTTTTAATGGAATCGGAATTTTATTCCAGAAATGCATAATCCCAATAATACATTAAATATCAGCCTTACATGTCTCACCTCTTCCACTTGTCTGGGCGAAAGACATTTTGTGATATGTAAGAGAGGTTCTTTATTGTTGGTTCTTTTTTTCCTCAAGAGTCTTCTAAGGCTGATACTTGTGTAATACTTGTCTTTGCTTTCAGTTTTGTACGATCCATCTAGTATGCTAAATAGGCCATTGGTACAAGTCAATGATCAATAACATTGTTTATTCTTCAATGTCATATACTTATAATAAAAAGAAGATAACCATTTGCTTCTGAAAACGGATCAAAAAAATTATTGAGTGAATGTAGCTATTGTTAAAAAAGGCTGACTGGTCTGCATCAGATGGTAAAATATGATTGCCAACAAGATCTGCATTTAAAGCACTTGAATCTCGTGTCCTTTTTTATGGACTTTTTTTACTTCTAACTGCTGAAAATGAATTATCCCTTAAAAACCTATGTATCTGGATAAATGGCCTATTGTTCTGATCCAGTGTGTTAGTCACTATGAGTACTACTCATGGATGTGTAAGCCAGGAAAATAAAAGCTGCCTCCTTCGGTTATATGTACTCTATTCCTCAAGAGACAGAACAACATCACAGAGTACACGTACAACATCTGAAGGTGGTTGATCTGGTTTTAAAAATCACTATGGTAATACTGCTGCTAGTAAATATTTAAAGGACAAAACTAGCGCTGTTTGGTAGCAGGAACCCCATTTACCTCGATACGTCCTTCCATGGTGTCTTATTTGTCTTTTTTTTGCTTTTTGCTAGCGGATACTGCAGTTACGTTCTGAGCCAGTGCTTGGAAGCAGCTTATTTACTGCCTTGCATCTCTCATTGCTACAGCAACCAGTTTTCTGTAGAGCTGTGTGTACTTACAAAGAAAACAGTGCTCACATTTGGACTGCCTGTCTAAAGATGCTGTTGGCATTCAGAGGAAGAATTTTGTTTTACACAGGAGCTTGCGGCTGGCCACAATTCACCTTGCTGTGTGTACCTTCCAGGGGACAATATCAAGCTTACTTTCAGTTTTAAGGGGAGAGAGTAGATGATGATAAAGCTTCAGAAAGAGTCATTTCAGCTTTTCTTCAGATGTTAGCATTCTGGTTTTCCATAGTGGTTTGCTGTGTGATGTAGCAGGAGAGAGAATTTCTCCAAAGAGCCTTACTTAAAAGAAATTCATGCTCTTTATTATAAGGAAATTGTCATGCCACAAAGCCAAGTGTAAAGTATTTGTGAGGATAAAATAAACTGTCATCTAGCTTAATCTCTAGGTTCCGCATTTTGAAGCAAATAAGCCAGTCAAAAGACTTTGTGGCCCTTGGTCAGAAATGTAACATAACACAGATTTGTAAAGCTCTATTTTTCCCCCCGTGACTATTATCTACTCCCCCTGGAAGCTGCATCATATTGCTAATAGCACGCTTTTTTCATTCTCCCACTCGATCTATCATGACACCTTTACAACATCATCTGTACTGCTGATATATTGCTATGGCATCCCACCAACCTACCAGCCTGCGATCCTTCAGTTCAGACAGGTCCCACACATTGAGCCATGCCTCCTACCTGAGGGACAGTGCCATGATTGACGATACAGTTGTCATCCCCAGCCAGCAGGTAAGCAAATTCTCTTCAGTTCACTTATCAGTTGGATAAATACGGAAATAGAAAACAATTACAGTCTAGATTGTACTAATGCTACCATGTCGTGTATGCTGCTTTGTTTCTGTTCATATAAATCTCTCTCATTTTCATTGATATTTAATGGCATATTATGCTGTGCAATATTAGGCTCTATTCCAAAATAAATGGATGATGTGTGAATACAGTACAGGGACTGTCTTTATAACGTTCTCCATTTTAACTGATTTTTGAACGATGCTAACAACCATTGGGCTAAATACTCGGGTGATCTAATGAACTCAAGGCCATTGTCGTCAAAGATACTATCCTGAAGCATGCTTGTAGTGAAAAAGAAAAAAAAGATTTAGGAAATGACACTTTGGTAAATCACAGCATTCATTTCGCTGGGACCACTAGCATACGATTACTTTGAGCAAGTACAAAATGTTACAGTAAGGGGTGTCTAATAGCTTAATGTTATAATTACGCCTTTGTTTTCTTTTTTAAAAAAAAAAAAGTTTAAACGCTTTAGGTATTACTATGCAAAATACATCTTCGTATTGTTTCGTTGATTAGTTGATTTTATTGTGGTAAAAAGGAGGGTTTTTTGCTTACCAAGGTAACAACTCTGGCCAAAGAAGCTGAAAGGAATTCATATCGCTTAAGCTGGGGCCCCGAAAACTTGGACAATGTGGCTCTTTCTTCCAGCCCTATTCATTCAGGGTGAGTGTATCCATTAGCATTATATGAAAAAAAGAGAAACAGAATACCTGCGGTGGCAGCAGCTTCAACTAATGCTTAACTAGGAGTTCTATTTTCATTTATTGCCTCCTAGAGCTGTCAATAAATTGTTGCGATCTCTTAAGCTCTGACGGTCAAGCAAGCCTGAGTACCAAGACTATCCACTGAAATCGCTGCAAGTCAGTGAATTGATGCCAGTGAGCTTTCAGTCAAATTCAGGAGGAGTGAATGAGATACTTGACGCATGCACACGTGCATCTGTGTGAATTTTATGGAGAAATAAATACAGTGCCTCTTTACAGTTAGTGAATAGTTGAGACCAAGGGCCTAACCACTCCAGATGGTGCGTACTTCCTATGCCAGTGAAGTAGTGTAGGTAAGCACCAACTCCAGTGTTTGTCATGATAACTAAAAAAAGAAACCAAGGATTTTAAATTACATGACCCGCGTAATAGACAAGCAGCCTAAACATCATGTGCTTTACACATATTTGGCCACTATGTTCATATATTCTCACAACTGACCCTTTGTAAGCATTTGCGTTTAGGCAAGCTCATTGAAACAGGGTAAGACAGGTCAAAATGCAGGCCCAGCCAAATTCATGCTTACAGAGCTTGTCCTGGTTGGCCTTAAAATCTGTGAGTGCGTTTAAGTGCTCTTACTTACTGTGTTTTAAGTAATTTTATTCTTTACGCTGAACTCTACACGTGTGTCCTGCCGTCAGATTTGATGAGGCGTGTGCAGATGAATTCGTCAGAAATTGATGTCATACAAAAGCGTTTCATTTCTGCGGAGCTATGTTGTACGCAGCATGGCTGGACATCACAAGGAGAACAATTTTTCTGTTAATCTCAAATGAGTTTGCAACAATTTTACAGTCCGTATCTTTCAAAAAATGATACTGGAGTCCCATTTGGAATGACAGGCAGTCCTGGTCTGGAAGAGGAACAGTATTGTCGTAACTGTGATTGCAAATTGACTGATTGGTGACATAGATGAGAAGTTTGTTAGCTGGTGGCAGGATATTTGGCTGTGACCAGTGTTGTTTGAATTTGCTTTTCTTGAGCTCTAAAACTAACAAATTAAATGAAGATACTTAATGTGTACAGTATGTATGTGTTTATAATAATGTCACTATGTAAGCTTTAAAATTGTTTTGGTGGTTTATTCTAACCCTCAGTAGTTTACAGACTTTTTCCAAAGGATGTATTACTTTTCACTTTCAGAAAGGTAGGTCTTTCTAGTGATTGCAGAGGACGAGCTAAATACTTTCTAGAAGAGTGGCATTTATTTCTTGGATGTGCAATCATTTGGTGTTTTTCTTTTAAAAAATATTAGCGATATTTAGATCTTTTTGGATGACCAGGATGCTAGGGGTAGGATAAGAGTATCCAGTTTTAATGGGAGCGACACTCTCAGCAGCCTTGTATGAAATAGTGACATTTAACACGACACAAATTACGTTACACATACCAACTAACCTGCCACTAAATACTGCAATAAAGAAACCTATAATAATGCTTAGTCAGCCTTTGGAAAAGACTGTACAACACTTCATGTTTATCTTGCTTAGATTTGTCCGAGTCATTAAGTTATCATAAACTGTTGGGGTGCATCTTGTTGACGACTCTTTTGTAGGAAAACACGTCGACTACTAGAGTTTCACTTGTAAGATCTGATTTTAACAGTGAAACAATTGTAGAAGGACTGTGTGCGTGATTGTTGCATTCACTTAGCTGAAACAACAACAAATACGTTTGTCATTTATACCCCTCTCGTCACCTACACCTCCTTCGTACACAGGCACACACTATTACTAGGTTCTTATGAACTGACGACCCTGCTGACATTGCAGGTGCACGCGTTGAAGTAGTATATATCTGTCACGAAGGAAAACTCTTATAGTATTTGAAGAGAAATCCTATATAAACATTGTTAGTGGCTTTAAACAAGGCTATGGCCTTGGTTTTGCCCAAGACACTGGAAATGTATTGAATTCAGGCTGTCTTTTTATCAAGTAACACATCAGCAAAGTATTGGACAGTAATTTATTTGGCACAGATGATCTTAATTTTGTTTTCTGTGCAGTCTGAGGAAAAAAATGACACTGTTCTCTCCCTGCACAACTTCAGTGGCTAACCCTAAATTGTTGTTGGGTTCTTACTGATCTCCCATTGTAAGGAAGTGTTTCTGTGGATCACAGTGTAACACCCCCGAGCAAAAGGATAAATTTACGGAGAACTGTTCTCTTGGTGTGAAATTTTGCAGGCATATGTTTCAGCCTTTGCATAACTAACCAAAACGTCTCCTATGTCTGAAATTTCCCAAGGAGAAAATGTTTTAACCATCCATTTAAAATTTAAATGTAACTATTGTTTCAATATGTTGACAATTTCATCAGTAAGGAAAGAAAAGCAAGACCTTTGGTCAGGGTCTTTGGCAGCCAGTTCGAAAACAAGAAAATGATTATCTCTTAAGAGGTAACACTCGTTTGGTGCTCACAATCTCAACATAAACATCTCCTGGTCACTTTACACAGCTAACAGTTTCTGAATAGTTTCATACATTGGCTGAAGGAAAAAGTATAAATTTCTGCATTTGAACTTCCTGTCAGCAAATCAGATTTTCTTCTCCTGATAAAACTATCTGATCTTACGTATTGAGCAAAGTTAAGGATCTCTGAATATGCCAGAAAGTTTGGGTGCTAAATATCCAGTAAGATAAGAGTTTTTTTGCTTTGCTGGTAATATTAGGGGGTAT